CAAGTTTTGTTTTATCTGTACAAGCAACCGTATCCACTGGCAGTGTGGAATAAAGCCAAATGCAGCCGTGTAACTGAGGAAATGATTGTCCACCGACAGATGCTCCCATGCCCTCCTAGAAGTCTTCTTACCCGGTTTCCGCGAAACAATGATTAGCCTAAAATAAGATTTATGAATTCATTTTGAAGAGAAAATCGTCTCAATTGTTAATTCTTTGCTGAACGCGCACAACTTAACTTCTAACTGGAGCTCGTTCAAACGAATGGTGTCACCTTTTTGCCTCTTGCAGAGTAAAATCTTTCTACCTCTAGCGTGCTGTAGGGCTGCTTAAAGTAGATTTCCCATCTCATGTCAAAATTCTGAAATGTGTTTTTGACCGAAGAGGATTACTCACGTAATGTTGCAGTATTTATTATCGTGGAGCCTAAGCTCAGGATATTTCCGTGTGTCAGGATGCCGGCTTTTGAACGAGTCTGCCTCTAATCGCCTCTAAAAGCATACACTGTAAAAAAAACAAGAGCCTGAATAATATATATTTTCTCACTGATTACCAATGATCTTATAAATTTAAATATATTCTGTAGAAAATATACTCCTTTGGTAGCAAATTACGCCATTTTTCCAATTTTAAACTTAAGGAAATAGTATCATTCGGTTATAACAAAGACAAGGTTCGAAACCGTGAAATGAGCATTCATATTACATCGTGTCCGTCAAGTTATTAAGTCTGTCTCTAAAGGTATCAACATCATCCAAATACATTGCATAATTTCTATGAAAATTATGTGAACACTTCCTCATAGCGGAGAGCTGTATGTGATTTTCCATAGACAGAATGTATACAGCAGGTATTTTGCAAACTCTGAATGCAAGTGTAATGGTCGGCAGGGTTCAAAATTAAGTGAACATTCAGAAAGCCTTTTAAAATCTAAAAATACGGTGTCTGCAAGTGTAAAATTAGGAGAAGCTGTAAGTCATTACAAAACGAGTACAAGGAAGCCTATTTTTGTACATGTTTCCTATAAAATGTAGTTGAATTTGTATTGGGAAAGAGAAGATCGATAAGGAAAATGTATACTTCTTAAGAACCCAGGGGTTTACGATTTTAAGACGGTTAGGAAGGAACCCGTTTAAAAGTCGGCATCTTGACGGGACTTAATTCTCTTGAGATTAGGCTGCATGTCAATCAAAATTAGAAACCTACTTTAGTAATTTCTTCGAATCAAGAACACAGTTCAGAATTTCGGTCGCCATTTCATGAGCTAAGGAATATATTGTAGGACTCTCTGCTCAGCTTCATTTAGCTCAGGAGGAAATTCGATTTTCGTAAGTTTCCTCAAAGCGTTGGCTGCTTACTAGAGGTATACACCCGGCTTTTTATGCATTAGGGCTAATTTCGATACGGTTCACTGATGTGTCTGCTCCGGATTATTAAATTTTTTTTACACGAAAACACTAAATATAAATTCATAGACTTGCAACGAAGGGAATGGCTTTATGCCTTTTGTTGTCTTAGAACTGGCGTCCTATTTTTGTTGACATTTTCCAGTAGGGTGGTTTTCAGCAGTAAACGATAAGTGAGTGTAACCTTGGATAGTAAATTTGGCCTGGCAACTTATATACCCATATTTGAAGGTAATCTGGCGGGACGACACATGTGGGCCTTGAGAAAGCTTGACAAGCCAGAGAAGGGGAGACCTTGGTCCATGTTAGACATGAAAAGCAGGCCGGAACTGGGTGCTGAACTTAATGGCCTACCCAGAAAAATACAGCACAAAATGCTTGAACCATACCATTTACTCCTAACGCCTTTGGCTACAGCTCTAAAGATTGAATAAGTAAATGGAACGGAGATATTTGGAGAATCTGTTGCTACTTACCCCCGACTTATTTTCTGCAGCGTTTGAGGTTTAATACTATCCTAGGGAAAAGTATTTGGAGAACCATTATTTCTGATTGCGCCTTGTACGACATATTCATGGAATTTTTCAAATATGTTCGACTTTTGCCGTATGCTCTCTAACTGCCCCGTTCTCAATATTTAAGGTTTTCAGTCCAGACATGATATTTTTGAAATTTCGTTAAGGAACAGATATTCCTGAGGCACTTTTCAGGTCAGGGTTTTGGGAGCATTTTGACCGTAGGGTTGCAGAATAATCAACTTGAAACTTTCAATCCTTTCAAAGTGTTTATCTTTTTGTCACCACAATCTAAAAGTAATTTTTTAACGTCATGCTTAGAAACCTTTATTGGCATAAAAGGGAATAAGTCACTCGTGGTCTGCGAACCTAAACATCAACTCCCAGTGAAGTGCCTATGCTATTACGAATTTCAGTAATTTGATATCCTCGAGAAACATTGAAGATCATCTTTGTAGTGAGTACTGGTGTATTATCTTTGATTTCCCAAATCCTAATAAGGTTCTAATTTGAAATTCTTCGTTCCTGAAAGGTTTCGAGAAACGTGGTTTTCTGAGATTCAAGTGGTGTCTCACCAGGTTCGTCCATCAGCGTAGTTTCGCCAAAATTGCTAGTATCCAAAGCAAAGGATTTAATAATTCTTCGAAAAGAACCTAACAGGTCCTCAGACAGAGAATCTGTCACTTTCCCAAGCAATAGTTTAGGGAAAAATAATCTTTTTATGGAAAGGTGGCGTAAATAGTTGATATATAATAGTAAACATTCCGGAAATCATTCATGGGCTAAAAGTATTGTCGTTGATTTGTGCAGAAGCATAATAGTCAAGGAGCATTCATGTGAGTTATCACTTGCAGCTATCTTTAGCGATCTAGTAAGACTATTCAATAAGTGCCACACATAGTAGTGCTACCGTTTTACTTTTTTTAATTTTGTGGGGTTGTGTTGTTGAGGGATAAGGCATATACGTCGAAGGCTTTCGAAGTTTCATGCGTCAGGCATGTTTATCAACGGATAGTATAGCCTTCAAAAATGAACTATGTATTTATTGCAAAGCGGCGCATAAATTCTGCTTCTAATCTTAGCTATTTTTTATACTAGTCAAAACTACGAGCCAAATCGACTCAAATACCGTTGGACTTTGCATTTTAGCTCTGCATGGCATATTTCAAAGAACCATTTTAATAATTAATTGGTCGGGATTGATGCGTTGGCATATATTCACTGAGAAAGGCTCACCAAATAAAGCACTCAATTTCGTCGGCTGCTGGCTAAAACAGGACATTGGTGTAGATTGAATTCTGGAGTGCTACAAAATGTTGACATTTTGAAACGAAGAAGGATAAAGTTATCAAGTTGACCTGACGACACCGGGGAACCCTTCTTGGGTTTCCTACTCCAAAGAATTAGTTTGACGGGATGGTTGTGAAACTGACAAGAATGAGCTTTGTTTGGCTTTAAATCTCAGGCCTTAGCGTAGTGGAGATTATCCCAACTAACAACAGATGTGTGCTATTTATTATGATTTCGTAGTTTCCTAAAGAAAGACGAAGCGTCATTTATGGTCCATTTTCAGCTTCATGTAACAATCCTTTCAAAAGGGAAAGTACTCGAGTTCATACGAAATTTCCCGACACACGTAATTTGAAAGTTGGCTTTCATTTCTACATGCTTTTTTGGTCAATGTGGACGATAACTTCACTAATGTGGTTTAAGCTGCAGTATTGCTGACTAAAGACAGTTAAAAACTGACATTGTCTATCTCAGACTCCCTTGTAGCTGTTGCCATGACTCCCATCGTAGAATTCTTTACATCGCTTGTCACGGCGGTCCTGAACTTCACCTTCACCGTCCTTTTTCAGTATATTAAAACAGAACATTCGTCAGCGGACAATGTGATATAAAGTAGCCGAAAGAACTGACTTACAACCAGCAACCGATTTGATGACATTTATAAAGATCCATTTTCGACTACGAAAGAATTCTTAAGTAGGGTTGTAATATTGATCATCTTTTAGCATAGTCTAATGATATTTCACACATGACAGGATGCTTGCTTTTAAATTAACGTCTATTCGACCGCGAAAAATGACTATTTAAGTATTAGACCAGTTTTCTATCGATTTTCGATGCCCTAATAAACTCGAATATGTTTTACACAACAGGCGTTCAAAAGTATGCTTTCTCATACTAAGTTGATAGCAATTCAAGTCTTCTTCAAATCGCGTGTTCGCAGAAAGGTTAAAATAGCATTATATCCGTCCGTTACTAATTCCCTCATGAAGTCTACAACATGACCCATATCTAGGGCATATAAACACTATGTAGAATCCTTTAAATGGTACACAGGACTGTATGTTTT